ATAATGCTACATTATATGACTAACAATTAATTTTAATTAAATTAATGACCTTTAATTTTATATATAATTTTCATCATTTCAAATTAATATCAATTAGCATTAAAATTTATAATTCAACATATAACTTGCAATTTTTTTTTAACCTATTTATATAATTTTTAATCTTTTACACTAGTTTAAATGCTAACATAAATTATTTTTCTTTCAACCGGAGAAATTAAAATTTTTTTTCACTTAAATTGTCTTCAAATGAATAATATTTCAGTTTCTATCTTTTCATTATCCTCATAGTGAACCTTTTTCTTGATTTAAAAAAATTTCAATTTCTTAATCCTCTAATTCATTCTTGGTCTTATCTAAATTATAACCAATTTTCTTTACTTTTAGCAATAGAATTAATTCTAATTGTTTTCCGTATTATTCATATTTATACATACGACCATCAAACTCTAATTCAACATCTATTAATCTATAATCTTTTAAAGAATAAGTATAATAATCAAAAAGACTTATCATCAATGCTGATAGTTTAGAATTTATTTTCATATTAGAATTTTTATAGAAGACTAATTATTATAGAAATTGTTTCAATAATTTCACCTTTTTAACATTACTAAATTATTGGATCATAAATTTCATTAATAATTTTTGTAGATTTGTGTTATCATTATTACAAACAATCCCTTTTTCTTTATTATAAAATACTAGAAACTATTATTTAGATTTTTCGGATGCTTTTATTGATTCATCAAGATAATAAACTATAAAATTTATTTAACATTAAATAATATGATATATTATCTTTAAAGGTGGACTGTTTTATTCCAGAGTTAACCATATTCTAGTATAATCTAAAAAGTTATTTTCTAATTCTTATTGCTTCATTTCTATAATTTTTTTAATATTTTTTTAAAAAGAACCCATAGTTATCTTTTAGAAGCTTTGATTTTTTTAATAAAAATTGATAAAAATTTGAATTTATAAAATAAATAATATGATTTTGAATTTAGGAACTTTCTGATTTAATTTTAACTTATTGATTATATATTGAAAATCAATACAAAAATCTTGTTTGATAATGACATTAGCGTTTTTTTCAATCCATTTTGATTGCCAATCATTTAAGAATATATACAAATATTATTGTAAAATTCATAGAAGTTTATAACTATTATTTCAGCTTTTTTATTAAAAATTTCTTTTCAGACATTTTTTGTATGTAATGTGCAAACAGGAATTTCAAGATTCTTGACAATATAAAGGAAGAGAATGATCTGAGCTATTCAATTTATTTTTAAAGTTTATAAATTTCCATTTTAGAAAAATTAATTCCAATTTTTACCAATAATTACAGAACCTCTAAGGTAATGCTTATTTTTTTTTGTCTTTAAATTGTCAAATCAATCCTTTTAAGAATATTAATAATAAAATAATTCTCTGAAACTAGAGTAGAAACTTAATACTGAGATAGTAGAAAGTCTGCACTTTATTATTTACTGATTAGTTTGATTATGACAAATAGTAATATATGAGTGATCCAACCCATATTCTAATTATTATTTCATGTAAATATTTTTAAATTCCCAATAACGATTTGATAAATCATCAATATATTATTTTTTATTAAAAACACATGATCTTATTTGTAAATAGAAATGCTCTGCTGTTGTTTAAGAATTAGTATAATTTACAGCATCATCAATAATCAAATTTTATTGATAAAATCCAAAATTAATATTTTGTTAATAATTCAAACTTAATTCATTAATCAATCTGCTTATCATTAAACTTAACTCAACACTTAATAGTCTCTTAGTATTGAAAGTTCAGCTGTAAATCATAATTAATCACAAATAAAATTACTAAATAATTAAATTAATGTTGATTATCAGATTTACTCCTTCATATTGATTGGATACTGATTCAGATTAATAAATGAAAAGAATTATTCAAGATCTATAGGTCAAAAATAACTTATACAGCTATTCATTTGAAAATAAAGGAAAGAAATAATTGCAGTTCTGGTTTTTGATTTCTTATTTGAAGAAAGATAATAACAACAAAAATTTAATATCTCATTTATTGATCAACTTAATTCATTTTGATTTCAAAATAGAATTTATTTTATCCTTGTTAAAACCAACGCTTTTTGCATTTTAATACCATGTAATGGATTCTTCTTTTTTTCCAATAATTATTAATGCATCAGCTAAAATTATATTTAAAAAATTACCTTTATTTTTCATATATAAAGGTAACTGTTATATTTGTAATGCTTTATCATAGCACTCAATGGCTTCTTAATTAAAATTCAAATTTTATAATGCATTTCCTAAATTAAATATATTTAAGAGCTCATTTACCCTTATTATTTAACACATCACTGTTATTAGGATTGAGTTTTAAAGCATTATCATAGCACTCAATGGATTCCTAATTAAGATTCAAATACTATAATGAATTGCCTAAATTTAATGGATATTTAGGAATTCATTTACCTTAGCATATGTAAACTACTTCATCACTATCATCTTATTTTAAAGAATCTTCAAAAAATATCAATGCCTCTTTATATTATTTATTATCAAATAGGGATCTTCCTATTAATTAAATATCTCATCATTACCTTTTTTATATAATTAATGAGCTTTTTATTTTCTCTTATTTATTTTCAATTCTTATTCTTTTTTAACTTCAGCAATTTTTATATTATTTTCATCCATTTACATATTATCTTTTGCCAATTATTTTAGTGTTTCCATAGTATTCTACAAATCATTTAAGAAAGACGCTATAATTTTCAATACATATTTACTATATTTTAATAAATTTTCCTTATATTAACATTATTTAATCCATAAAATTTTTTATTTTACAAATAAATATGATCTATTTATTAAATTTTAATCAATTTCTTTCAATATTGTAATTTCTTAATCCATTTTTTTGAATAAAATTTCTAAAGTGTGTTTCAGCTTAATTTGAATGTCTTAGTAAAAATTCAATATTTCATTATGGATTTCGATATATTTATTCAACAATTCATTTAAAGAATGGAATCTTAGACAATCATCAGGATGATCCTTATGCACTTAACTTAGACATTTAAAACAGAATTAAGTAGTCTTTAGGCAATTTTGATTAATGCAAAATCCTAGGATTGGTTCATTCTCATGAGTTTCATATCGACACTTGAATTCTTCCATAATTTTATTAATATTTGAATTCAAGATTTTTTCATCCTAAATAAATCTAAAAAATGAAAGTAATAGTATTCGAATTATTTTTATCATATATTTAATTAATAGTTTAGAATAATAATGATAATTACTCAATAAGAAATTTAATCATTGTGCCTAAGCATGATATTTGTCAATCAATTTAAATTACTACTTCAAGGACAATAATAGCATTGGAATAATTGAGAATATAATTCAAAAATATTTTTATAAATTAGATTATTAGAATGTCTATTCAAATTTATATTCTATATTAATTTAATTATCAATTAGTTTAAAATACAATGCATTTTGGTTTAAATCAATCACTTCTATAGGATTATTGTATTTTTATTATATTTTACAATAATTAATGTAAAATTTGTTTATGAAATCAAATAGTAAATAAAATTCATATATTTAATTGTGTCATTTCATGAGAAATCTTGAATATTTATCCACTTGTTTCTTCATTTCTAATTGATATTATTTAAAAATTATTAATATGATTTATAGATTTAATTGTAAACTCTACAGAATTAATTATCATAAAAATCCTCTTTAATCTGTTTTAAAAGAAGCCATAGGATTATGAACTAATGATCCTACAAACAATTTAAATCATGTATAAAGACATAATTAAAATTATTTTTATTCTTTTTAAAATCAAATTCTCATTAATCAACCTTATTCCTAAACTTTTTTTAAAGTTTTTTCCTTTTTAAAATAGAATTACATGACCTATTTTTATAAATTAGTAAATACTTCATAATCTTTAATCATTCAATTTCTCTCTTACATTGTTAGTCTAGAGCAGTGATGCTGAAACATTTTATAAAAGATATTAGGGAAAATTAATGGTCATGTCCTAAATCTTAATAAAATTACTTGATTTTTTGAATCATTTAACCAATTTTTAATATTGTAATGATAAACACCTCTCTAAAACTGCTAATTTATTTTTAATGAAAATCGAAATTGGGATATTTTTCGTACTTCCTTGATTGTTAATAAAAATATATTTATTATTTATTTAAAATTTTCCATAATCTAAATAAACCTTAATATAAAATGATTTGAATTAAAAAATTTAAACTTGAATTATTTATTATTATCTTTTAAATAGTAAAAATGTTGTTTTTCGATAGCATAAATTGGCTGTGTTAATTGGATTCAAATGTTTTAGGTAAAATAATAAAAATTCTGAATTATTCATTACTGTTTTAACTCCAATAGAGTTACTATGGTCATCTTTTTTCAAATTTTATTTATTATTTGCATCCATATTGAAATAAAAAATCTAAATATCTGATGAAATTAAGAGGACATTTTAAAAATATTTAATGTTTAGTTGTTGATCCAATTGATGGCGAGATGAGGATTATTCATATGACTCAAAAACAAAGTTCTGTCCATGTTATAATAAATAAAATATCTTAAGTGGAAATTTTTTAAAAACTACAACTGATTATAGAAGCCATGTTTATTTTATAGATTGTCAATAAATGAAAATGGAAATTAATTTGATAGTGTAGACTATATTATTTTGATTATGGAACGCACTCATTAAGATTCTTAATGGTCAATTAAATAATAAATATTATTAACACAATATGGATTTCAAATAGCTTTTATTAGTGATTTAGTATTTGCCTTACTTCCTTACTCATCATTAAATTGAAAATATATACATTTAATCCAATTCATAATTTTTTATCAACTCTTAAGATTTACTAACTAATGGTTGGAAATAATGCTGTAATTGATAAAAATGGATATTGAATGAATTCGATGAATATAATTTTACATGATTCCATTATTAAAGATAATAAAAATGATTAAGATTATTCCAATTAGCAAATATATTTTTATAATGAGTTAAATCTAGCTTTTAGTCATTATTAAATTTATGGTACCTTAAGTATTATAGGAAACTATCTTGTATGTTGAAATGAGTCGGCACATAAAATTAAATATTAAAGTATAAATAAGAACTTTAAGAACTATGAGTGATATTTTACACATGCTATTCAGATTAGAAAAAAGATTATCAGCTTAAATAATTTTATTTTGAACTTCCAAGTTTCCCTCCAATTCTGTTACTGCTAATTGATAATAAATTTTTGATTACATCATTCAAAATCCTTTTGATTTTTAAATATGTTTATTTAGCTTAAAATTGAAAAATGCAATTCTAGAATTGATGATCAAAATATCTTTAAAATGGTGATTGATGCTGAATTTCAAATTTTATTATCTATCATATGTATTATAGTAACAGAGTTAATATAATCTTATATTTAGTAGTAATATTTTAATATCATTTTTTAATATGCGTAAATGACTTTTTTATCATCCAGCAGCAAACTTAAAAACTTCCAAGCAGAATTTTCATCACTAATCCTTTTGTAATTGGATAAATTGGTGAAATACATGAATATGTGCAAGAAAAAATTATCTGTCATTTGCAGTTGAGATGTTAAATATCTCATTAGTACTTCATAAATAATATTAATTTTCCATTAAGTATTGCAAACATAAAAAAAGCAAGAAGGAATAAATCTATTGACTAAGTCATATACTTAAGAATAGGATAATATTAAAAAATATATAATTAAAAATAGATTAGATAATTCCATACAATAATAGATTTCAAAAAATATTAATTATTAATAATTCATATTATGAAATATCGAAATAACTAACAAATTTTAGTTGAAACAACTTAAACCTATGAAAGGTTCTTTTGAGTTACCTTTTATTATATTTCACACCTTTAGAATATTAACATTTGCTAACTACATAAATTTTAATTGAGTACAAATCATAGTAATCTTTATTTAGGAATAAAATAAAATATTCAAAAATTATTTACTTTTTCTTTATTAAAAAAATGAGTTCATACTTTAGAAACTTTTTTAATTTTAATTATTAAACAAAGAGCTCTGAATTTAAAGAGAAAAAAAGATCTGGCACCAGATAAATTATAAAATGAGCTTATATTAATATTTAGATATGAAATGTGATCGAATGAAACAAGCCTCATATAATATTTAGATAAGCCACATCCATAAAAATTTCGATTAAAGATTCAGAATGTTGGGGAGAAATGAATTATTTATCGCAATACTCCAGAGCCCTTTGAAAATCAATTTAACTTATTGTTAGCACTGCTTCTGGAATTTTGCAATTCTTAAATTCTTAATGGAACATACTTTTTCACCTAAAACATATTTTTTGTGGTATTGATTTCCAGGATTAATTTAACGAAAATTATAGATAAATTATGAGCAATATACTAAAAACAAACTTTCTTAAAATACAGATCAGGGTACACGATATATATTTATTATATAAATATTTCTTTTTTTTCTAATCTAATTTTTTCTTATTAAGCCTTTCGAAATTAGTTTATTTGTTAAGTTAATAATTTTAAATCATATACATACCTTATAACAATAACAGATAACTAGAATTATAAAATAAAGTTTCATCGAAAACTTACTAAATAAGGTTCGCTTTTAAGAGAGTATGCCAAATATAATTTTTGAAAAAATAAAACATGTCAGCCAAAATTTAAATTTCCTTTAGATTTCATATGCTCTAAATTTCTTTTGTATTTTATATTTTAATGTAAGCCACTTTTTATTTCAAATATACCCATAAATTTTTCAAAATCCCCGAATAAAATATTAATTCCTATAAAAACCTTAAAAAAGAATAATCTTTAGAAATATTTTAAAAGATATGATAAGTTAAGGAGAGCATAATATTAATTTTAAAATTGATCTAAATAATCAAAATTTAACAGCTATTTAAATTTTTTGATTAATAAACACGTAATTTAATTTAAATAAAAATTAATGTTTTTGATTATGTCAGCAATTTGCGTTTTTTTAACCCAATCAAATTGGATAATGGTTGACTCAAGTTTTGGTTAGGGTTTCGCCAATAATTCATGGATTCTCTCACAATATTGTGATCCTTTATCTAATTTAGTGAGCATGGATTAAAATTTAACTTGTTCAAATAATTTAATCAAATATGTTCGCCTTAAAAAAGATAATTAGAGGATGGATAAGGTTATTCAAATAAAAAGCTTTCAATCTCAAGTAATAGTGGATATTTTTTTTGATGATCGTAATTCTGCTTCAGATAGAAAAGCTTATTTTACCTTAAACTACACTGTAAGCGCAACTGAAAAATATAAAATGCAATTTAGGGATTATTTCAGAAATGATCTAACTCAAAACTCAAGGAGGATATGTAATAGTACAGGATCAGGAAATTTTGATTTTATGACATATGTTGGTACATCACCAATTTCATATCAAGAAAAATTTAACATTACAATAGGTATTGAGAGTTAAGATGATTTGTAATTGCTTGGAGTTCGAAATGTGTTTGTTTATGTGAAATTTTGTTAATAAACTTGTAAGACATGCTCAAATTCTATAAGTTGTGACACATGTTATTCTGGTACTCTACAGGCTAATGGGTTTTGTCTTTGTGACCCTGCACATTAATTTGCTGAAGTTGGTGTTGGATGCAGATCAGAATGTAAAAGGGACTACTTTATAGCAAGGTCAGATAATGTTTGTGTTCCTGATAGAAGAATTAAATCTTTTTTTACATTTTTTAACTCTACTTTCAGTTCATATTCTCCTTTTTAATTCGTTCCTGATTCTACTAATATAAGAATCTCTCCTTCATTAATTATTGCTTATTGCTCAAATAATTATGTTGGAAGTCTTCATTATAGTGAGGGAATGAGTTTTTAGCTTGCAGATTAATAAAATATAAAATTTATCAGACTTAGGGTTACTTTTTTTATAATAGGCTTCTTAACTAACAGTAGAATATAAATAATTTTGGATGACTAAGTATAAGGTGAAATAATCAAATCTTTGTCGATATTTGATTTCAATTAAATTAGAAAGATTTACAGTTCAAGCACCATTTGTTCTAATTATGAAATTTTAAGGATAGAAGCAATACTTAGAACATATTCTTCCACTCCAAAACTAATTCTAAAGGGAAACTAATTATCCTCTATTACCGAAGGATGGGGATTCAGAAATGTAACAATTGATACTGGTAATTGCAAAGAAAATTGTGCAGTTTGCTCTGATTTTTCAACATGCTAATAATGTGAGACAAATTATGTTCTATTTTAAAATGGATGTGTTAGTTCTTGTCCTGTGCATTCATCTAATTGTATTGACTATGAAGATATGATGCCATGTATTTTATTAATTAAATAAATTAGTCTCCAGATATTTAGCTAAAGGATTTTATAATCTTAATATGACTACAGATGATATAAATAAATTTTATTCTGAAACAATCCCAACTGGGAATAATTTCTTAACAGGATAAAAGTTTTCAATATTTCCAACTAAATTTGTTTTAGGAGGAGTAATGGTATGGAATAACGCTGTATATAAAAAATCATGGGTCATATCTAAACCACACTATGCTGTGACAATAAGATTTAATGTAACTTATGGAGATTTATATACAGGAAATTTTTATTATTCAATATAAAGTGTAAAATCGATTGCTCATCCAATCCCTGCATCAGGAGGTTAAAACATTATTGGTAAGAGTTCAGATGAAAGGACTAAATATTTTGAAATATTTTAGAATCCATTTTTATCATCTTAACTTGATATTGAGTTATAATGTACAGATACTGCTGTTAATCCTATAGATTAATTTTGTGCCCTTTCAGATTACTTTATCGTTGTTCATTATGTAAATCTTTAAAAATTATTATTAGTGTCTTCCGTTTTGTGAAAATTGCAATGATGGTACTTCATGTAATACTTGGGAATCTGGATATATAAATTCAAATTGTTTATCGAATTAATTTTTAAATTTTGATCTTACCACAGAAACTTATAATTGCATAACATGCAATTAAGTCGGTTGTTTAGCATGTAAAAACTTAGAAGAATGCATTACTTGTGATTCATCTAGTCAATATAATACTCTTAAAAATGGTGTTTGCTTATCAATAAATCCTCCATAAAATCCTAATCCAAATCCTAATCCAACGATTGAGTGTAATATCTATTGTGAAACATGCACAGGAACTTTAATTAATAATTGCTTAACATGTGTTTCAGACTTTCATCGATCATTATAAAATAATTAATGCTAATGTTAATCTGGATTCTCTGATGATGGAATTAATCTATATTGTCTTCCTATTTGTGGTGATTTGTTTATAGTAGAGGGAGAAGATTGTGACGATGGTAATAATAATCCATATGATGGATGTCATAATTGTAAATTAGGTTGTGATACATTTTGTAATTAGTGTTTATCAGGATTTTGTATCGATTGTTAAAGAGGTTTCTAAATGATAAATAATTAATGCTTTGGAATTTGTGGGGATAATCTTTTAGTGGATAGTGAGGAATGTGAAGATAATAATGATATTCCTAATGATGGATGTTATAACTGTAAATTCTAATGCCCCAATAATTGTATTGATTGTTAATATAACAAATGTATGGAATGTGATGAATAGAATGGATGGTATCTAAATAATAACAATTGTGTACCGATCTGTGGTGATGGTATAATTGCCATCTAATATGAATAATGTGATGAAAAGTGCTAGACTGAAGGGAAATGTCATTTTTGTTATTTCTTAGGGGTTTAAAATTGTTCTAAACACAATATGGGTATCTGTTTGGAATGTTATCATGGTTATAACCTAATAAAATTAACAAATTCTTGCATTTTTAATTTAAACTTTAGTAACTCGATAGATATAAACGATAACAAAAACCTAATATTTTAAGAGCCTCTTTGTGGTGACGGAATCTTGAATGAAGATTATGAGGAATGTGATGATTTAAATGACACATTTTGCTTTTAATGTTTCTTTAATTGCCAAAATTCTTGTTCTACATGCTATAATGGAAAGTGTTATCAATGTAATTAAGGATGGATTTTAAATATTTTTGAAAGAATTTGTTATCCAATATAAGGAGATAAATTAATAGTAGGAAATGAACAATGTGACGATGGCAACTAAATTGAATAAGATGGATGTTTTTNAAAATTGCAATGATGGTACTTCATGTAATACTTGGGAATCTGGATATATAAATTCAAATTGTTTATCGAATTAATTTTTAAATTTTGATCTTACCACAGAAACTTATAATTGCATAACATGCAATTAAGTCGGTTGTTTAGCATGTAAAAACTTAGAAGAATGCATTACTTGTGATTCATCTAGTCAATATAATACTTTAATAAATGGTGTTTGCTTATCAATAAATCCCACAGAAATTCCTAATACAAATCCAACAATTTAATGTAATATCTATTGTGAAACATGCACAGAGACTTAAAATAGTAATTGTTTAACATGTGTTTCTGATTTTCATCGATAATTATAAAATGGTTAATGTTTATGTTAATTAGGATTCTATGATGATAGAATTAATTTATATTGTCTTCCTTTTTGTGGTGATTTTTTTATAGTAGAAGGAGAAGATCGTGATGATGGTTATAATGATCCATTTGATGGATGTCACAATTGTAAATTAGGTTGTGGTCCTTTTTGCAAAGAGTGCATATAAGGATTTTGTTATGAATGCTAAAACGGATTCTATATGGTAATGAATTAATGTGTTAGTATTTGCGAAGATAATATTTTAGTAAAATATGAAGAATGTGAGGATAACCATTGGATTACTTATAATGGATGCTATAATTGTAGTTTTTCCTGCTCTAATAACTGTATTGATTGCTAATTTAACAAATGTATTCAATGCGATGAAATTAATTGTTGGTACTTATAGAGTAACTCTTACTTGCCCTTCAATGGAGATGGTATAAATGCAATATAATTTTAATAATGTGAGGATTCAAATTTAAATGCCTTAGATGGATGCTTCTAAAATAATTTTGATTGTCCTTAGTTTTGTTTAACATGTGTTACAGGATATTGTTTAGAATGCGATAAGAACTCAGGATTTGGATAACTTGATAGATTTAACAATAAATGCTTGTCTTTTTGTGGAGATGGTGTAAAATCAATGGAAGAAGATTGCGATGATGGTAATTAAATTCCTAATGATGGTTGTTTCTAATGCCAATAATCATGCAATTAAAATTGTACAGATTGTTAAAGGGGAATTTGTAATTAATGCGAAGTTGGGTATTATTTAAATAGAGTAAAAAATACTTGTTTTAGCATTTGTGGTGATGGAATATTGGTTAATACCGAAGAATGTGATAATGGAAACATTCAAGTTTAATAGAGATGTGAGGGCTGTTCAATAGAATGCCAGAATGAATGTTTAAGTTGTTTTTAAGGGTAATGCTACTTGTGTGAATAGATAGGATGGGATCTTGATTTAGTATCTAGAGAATGTAAATCTATTTGTGGAGACGGTATAGTCGTTGGAAATGAATAATGTGATGATAGTAATGAAATTGATTAAGATGGATGTTTTTAATGCTAATTTCAATGCTAATCTTAATGTACTGATTGTAGATCTGGTATATGCTATAACTGTGAAATTTAAGGTTGGCATTTAAATAATCATAAGTGTGAGCCAGTTTGTGGTGATGGCTTAATTATTACAGATTTAGAGGAATGCGATGATGGGAATTTATTAGAAAAAGATGGTTGCTTTCAATGTAAATTAGAATGTTAAGAAATGTGTACATCATGTAGATAGGGAATTTGTTTTGAATGTGATAAGTTAGGCTGGACTATTAAAAACAATAATTGCGAACCATTTTGTGGAGATGGTCTTATTACAGCTTTCGAACAATGTGATGATATGAATAACAATGAAAACGATGGTTGTCATTAATGTTAATTTAAATGCGATTAATATTGCATTGATTGCCAATCAAACATCTGTTAATAATGCATTAAGGGTCGACATATATCTAAGAATTCTTGTATAGCTTTTTGTGGGGATGGCATTGTATTAGATAATGAACAGTGTGACGATTAAAATATAATCCCATATGATGGATGCTATGAATGCAAATACTAATGTGATAAAATGTGTAACATTTGTGAAAAAGGAGTATGCTTAGAGTGTTAAATTGGTTATTATTTAAATGAATATAAATGTATAACTAAATGTGGAGATGGTATTAAGGTTGGAGATGAATAATGTGATGATTAAAATGAATATCAAAGAGATGGGTGTACTTCTTGTATCATTGATCCTCAATATTAATGCGAAGAAAAAATAAATTTATAAAGTTTTTGTTATTAATGCCAAGAAAATTGTGAAGAATGCAAATATGATTCTATTAGAGTTAAATGTTTAAGATGCAAAAAAGGGTATTTTCTCAAAGACAATACATGCAATTTATGTTCTTAAAAATGTGAGGAGTGCGAAAATACTCCAAATAATTGTTCAAAATGTTTAATAGATGGATGTATATAATGTGATAATTTATCTGGGTTTTATTTTGATCAAAAAGTTAGATAATGTATTACTTTATGTGGAGACAATATAAAGGCTGGTAATGAATAATGTGACGATGGTAATAGAATTGATTAAGATGGATGCAATTAAAAGTGTGAGATTGAAAAAGACTTTGTTTGTAATGGTAGTTCTTGTTATATTTCACCATAGAAATTAATTAATTTAGCTTATACCAATTCAACAACTACAAATGATTTTGACTTGATTTTTGAAAATCTTGACTAAGATGATGTTTGTGATAAATTGAGCATTTAGATTGAACAATTTTAATCTAATGAGTTCAAATATGAAATTTAGAATAAAAAAAATTTGACAAAAGTATAGAGAGGTTGCGAAATCAAATTTCAATTTTTCAAAACTTTGTTAGAGTCAAATCTTATACATGTGATAATATCTTAAAAGAAAAATGCTTTTAGAAATCTTTAAGAAGAAACAAGAGAAATCATAATTAAACCTAGAAAATTGATTTACTATAATTCAGATTAAATAGCTTAAGCTCAAACCGTTGTAGCAATTTATTCTTCATTTAATTTTTTTCTCTAACTTATTGGACCATTGACAATTGTTCTTGGAGGTTTCAATATATTTTGGACAATTTTAGATATTTTGACTTGGATTAACAACTTTTATTTTATAAATGTGGATTATCCTTTAAATGTAAAATTATTTTTTAATTACTTTTAATGGAGTGATATTTTCAATATACCAGATGCTTTTGAATTAAATTTACCAGAAGATCCTTATTATTTTGAAGCCCCTCGAAAATTTACTGAAAAAGAAATTAATCCATTATTTTTAAATAACATTTAGTTATTTGGCTACTTAATCATTCTTGCAATAATTACATACATATTTTCAATATGCTTAATATCTATAATTTAAAAGAAGTATCAATTTAATGTTGTTAAAAAACACCAAATAGAAATTTTTTCTGTTGGTAAAATTTACTAAAAGGTTCCAGAAATAAAATCATAAATATAAGAAATAAATAGATTTCACTAAAATTTAAAATAATTACCTTACTTAATTAATTTTGCCTATAAAGAAATGTTATCCTTTAAACAAAATTTTAAAGATAAATTGCTATAGATAATTAACTTAGTATTTTTGGATATTTGCATGGCATGTATTCTTTAATTATAACTTTAAAGCAACTCAGATTATGCTATTATTAAAATTAATCTTTTATTGGCTGTTTCAGGGGTTTTATTCATAATAATTATTTTGAAATTATATTCTTTTGTTTGTTCTTAACACCAAATTTTATATGAGACAAAAATATTTTAGAATTCTTATTCTTCATTATATGAAGGCATCAATACAAAAAACATTTTAGCTAGAAATTATTGTTACATCAATTTAATAAGAAAAGCAATGTTCATATTCTTTACTGTATATTTTTATGAAATCCCTTTGTTATAAACATCTTTGTGCTGTTTGACATGTTTCTTAAACTTAGCTTTAATTCTATATTAAAATCCATTCGAAAATAGAAGTATTCTCATATAATCCGCAGTACCTGATTGTTGTATATTTACAATCATTTCGTTGACTGTTTTATTAGCTGTCCATGACATATGCTAAATATTAACTTTTGACTAAAAGTATTTGATTGGATGGGTTATTTTATTTTTCACTGGATTTTCAATATTTATTTAGTTGATCTTTTTGTTTCAATAATTTTGTCTTAATTTAAAAATGAGATTTATGCAACTAATTAATCTAATCTGTAAGAAAACTAAATAAATTGAGTGATTATTTTATTTGAATTAATAAAATTTGATAATATAAATAAATTTAAAAAAAATACATGAGAAGGATACAAAAACGGACTTTATAAACGATTTATGAATAATCATTAAACTCATCAATTAACTCAATCCAACTTCCTAACTTAAAAGAATCTCCTTCACCATAAGCCCCTCCACCACTTAAAAAATATTAAGGTCTATAATATCTACTTCTCTTCTCCCCATGCAACAATATCCCATCAACCAATGTTTTTACTATATTCACCGTTATAAGCTACTTGTGAAAAGTCCTTAAACCTGTCACTAATCTCAATCCAATTTCCAAACTTTATAAAATCTTCATCATATGATCCATCTCCACTAAATTTTAATTTAGTTTATATAAATACAGCCATTCAAATGAATTATCATAATTTCTTGTAAAAATGATCTCCCAATAACCTACTTTTTTACCATTTTATTTTGATAGTAATAACTTTTGAGTAATTGGTAGCCTACTGTTTATAATTTATCCTGTTAAAATGATTATGATGACAGTTTAAATATTTTACTATCTAAATAAGGAATCAAATTTTAATTTAGAACCAAGGTCTGATTCAAATAAAATAGCCAAATAGAATCAATCATTCTCATTTTACGTTTAAATGTATATGATATTTTCTTTATGGTTATTCTGATGTTTCTTAAAATATTAATATTTGTTAAAATTTTTATTTTTAAATACTAATCATTAAAATTTCTAATAATTTATTTTTATTAATTCTATTACATCAATTTAAAAGTAATCCATTTATTAAATACAGATATGTCACTACGTCTTAATGTTAATTTAAACAATGAATGTATAAGTTATGTCTCTACAAAACTATTCTTGATATATTATTATATTATTTAATTAATATATAATACCAATACAATACTGATGAATGTAAAAAAAATATTACTTATAATATAAATATTTATTCATAAATACAATATGGATTTAATAAATTTTATAAAATTATTTATTTAAGGGAGAATGATTAAGAGGATGATCACGGGTTTAAATGGAAGTAAGAAAAAAAGCTCTAAAGGAAATAATAATTAGTAAAAAGATTAAAAGAATGCTAACAAAATTATTTAGAATGCTATCAAGGATACTTAAAAGAATCTGCAAAATACAAATATATAAAAGTGAATTAATCGATATATATATAACATAGTCTAGAATTACAATTATTTTATTGATATATTTTTCAAACCAATTTCTGTCAAATCTATTCTTAAACAAAATACAGTAAAATATTTATTTGAAAGATTTATCTAGTAATATTAAATCCTGAATTTAAGAGGTTTATTCTAAAACAGCCTTTTTTTGAGGAAAATTCATATATTCAATCTTAAAATGAATATTTTGGAGAGATTTTTTGTGAAAATGGAAGAAATTAATTATTAAGATGCCTGATGTAAATAAATATTAGCTGATAATTAATTAGATAGTCAAACAGTCAATTAATACACTTAGTCTTTCTATTTGATATTTTAATATAACATTTTAATTACATCGTACATTTATATATTATTATTTCTGTAAGAAAAATATAAACAATATATTTACTATAGATTTACATATAAAAATTAGCCTTTCAATATATTTATTATTATTCAATTTTACTTTTCTATTTAGCTATGTTGTTTTTGGATATTGTTAAATGAATAAATAGAGAAATATAAAATAAATCTTGACATCGAACATAAATGTGTTAAGGAGAATGATAGAAGTAGGAGGTTTTCTTCTTTTATCCTTTAAAATAGCGAAGGGAATAAACAATCTTAATTTTTTTAAATACTTATGCTCCTCAATAAATAAGATATAATTTATTAGCATCAGATAGGTAAATATATATTCTAATCTGAAGTATGTTAAACTTTCTTATGTAAAATATAATTAATAAAATGAAACACAAAAAATACATCATCATTTAAAAATAACTTTTTTTGAAAATCATCTTAAAGGTATTTTTCCATAATTTATAAGAATTTAGAAGACTTCTAATTTTCTGGAAGAAATAAAATTTCAATTAGTTAATTAAATCAACTAAATAAATTAGTGATAAAGCCTTTTAATCTTTGATGATAAATTTAATATTCTTATTTATTCATGTGATTCCTTTAGATAAACAGTGAAATTAGAAATTATAAAATATAATTATTAAAGTCATAATATTTAATAAATAAATATTTATAATAATTCTATTCAATAAATGTTAAAATTTTCGAAAAAATAAATAAATATTTTTTATCAATTAGTTATTATATTTTTTAAAAAGAGTATCAATTCATCTAATAGTCTAAATGTTTTGAAACGATTTGATTGGTTCAAATTTAACAAGAATATTATCCAATAATGAAAAAAATTTCTTTAGGTTACCTAATATAGGTGTTGGAGCAAGATTCGCAAGAATAAAACTCAATTGGAAACTTGCTATAAAAGTTATTTGTTAACTTCTATATTTTCATCTATAAATAAGCTAATAATAGTCAAATAGTTAGATTTGTTTATTTAATACTTGCCTCAGATAATTCAGTTGATTAAAAAAACTGGATCTTAGGAAGAAGTTAACTTTTGAAGATTGGAAAGTTTAAATGGATAAGAATTTTATTTTACAGGGATAGTAAGAATAAGTTTAGAAAGATAATTTTATAGAGTGTTTAAAAATGAAGAAATTCAAGAAGTTTCTCTTTAAGATGAAACATAGATATCCAGTAGAAAATATAACGATTATCTAATTACCAGTCGTGCAGAAAGTAAGTAAATTATTGATTCAATCATAATGATATCAGGTATTTACATTCCTACAATTATTAAATGCAGAAAAGGATTGTTTAAATCTACCTGCTAGAAAGTTCTGTTATTAGGATATAGAAATAATGAAAATATAAAATAAAGAAATGAAAAATATGCAGACAGGTTAGAAGTAATAGAGATTTGATTTTAAAAAGAAAAAATTGATTGTTTTTGAGAATTGCTATTATTGTGTTTATGGCGATAGGTCAAAATTATGAGTTTTTGCTTGAGAGAGGGATTAAGAGAAATTAATAGTGAGTATAGAGCAAATTAAAATATATTGAAAGTAGGCATTATAGTTTTAAATAGAATAGTAAAATTAAAGATCTATCTAAGTTTATAAACTGGGTATTATTCCTTCCCAAGTATCGCTTAAGGATGAGTAAATTTGAGCTGATAGTAAATCTTTTGTACTATGTATCCTATTCAAATATAAGTCATCACCTTAATCATTTCAAAATAAAATAAATCTATTACTAAAAAGCCATAGAGCTGATTCAAAGGATTTAAGGAAAAATACTAGTAAGTTTTGGAAAAAGACGTTGATAAGGAAGTGGATACATAATACAAGAACATCCCTTTACTTTTATAAAACTCCCCAAACTTTTTTAAGTCCCTTTATTTCTTCCTTGATACATGAGTAGGCTCATACCTTTCGAAAGTTTTTGATTATTTTTATTTATTTCAGCTATTTTTATAATAATCAAATATTGAATTTTTCAACAATTTTTAAGACTAATTTTTTTATTTATATAACAAAAATATCTTTCCATTAATAGTCTGAACAATCACTTAATTTCAGTTTTCAACCTTTCAAATTGTAGTTTTTTTTAATTTAGCAGAAGGATTTAGAGAAATTGAAGCATATATTTGAAAAAAATATGAAATTGTAAGTTAGAACTAATAAATTTATAAGAAGAAAATGTTAATTAGAAATTTTTGTAATGTTTGTAAAATAATTATCAATTCAACTTTAAATATTTTTCTAAATTTGTTTCCAAAAAGAAACTACCTTTAGATTTTAATGTTGATCTTAAATCTCTTCCTTAATGATTTACAAATTCTCCATTAAAAATCAGAGTTCCTTATGATTAAAGTATGGCAGATTAAGATATAAGAAGAATATTAATATTTTAAGTACCTAAAATAAAATAAGAAATAATACTCTCTGGAAGATGATTGTTTTAATTTAGGGGTATTTTAAATTATACATAGAGATCTTTGTATTTTTTATCTAAACGTTTAAATTATTATCTAATTGTAACATCCCATAAACGAATAGATGAATCTCCACTGCCAGAAGCTAAAGTAGTTCCATCTGGTGAAAAGCATACTGATTAAACATAACTAGTATGACTATCCAATTTAGCTTTTTATTATCCAGTCTTAACATCCCATAAACGAATAGACTAATCTTCACTGCCAGAAGCTAAAGTAGTTCCATCTGGTGAAAAGCAGACTTTTTTTTTATGACCATCAAATTTAGCTTTTTATTATCCAGTCTTAACATCCCACAATCGAATTGAGTTATCAGCACTTCCAGTTGCTAAAGTAGTTCCATCTGGTGAGAAGCATACTGATATGACCGAATTAGTATGACCATCAAATTTTCCTTTTTGTTATCCAGTCTTAACATCCCATAAACGGATAGAGTTATCTCTACTGCCAGAGGCTAAAGTAGTACCATCTGGTGAGAAGCATACTGAGTAAACATAATTACTATGACCATCTAAGTTAGCTTTTTATTATCCAGTCTTAACATCCCATAAAAGTATAGACTAATCTCCACTGCCAGAAGCTAAAGTAGTTCCATCTGGTGAGAAGCTTACAGAAAAGACAGAATTACTATGACCATCTAAATTAGCTTTTTATTATCCAGTCTTAACGTCCCATAGACGTATAGACTAATCAAAACTACCAGATGCTAATGTAGTTCCATCAGGTGAGAAACATATTGAGATGACCGGATATTTATGGCAATCCAATTTAGACTTTCTTTTTCTGGTCTTAACTTCCCATAAAATTATTGACTCATCAAAACTTCCAGATGCCAAAGAAGTTCCATCTGGCGAGAAGCATACTGATCGAACTTAACTTCTATGACCATTCAATTTTGCTTTTTATAACCCAGTCTTAACATCCCATAAACATATAGACTTATCATAACTACCAGATGCTAATGTAGTTCCATCAGGTGAAAAACATACAGTTTCTATCCTATTTTTATGACCAACTAATTAGTTCAGTTCATGGATTTTAATATTTTTCCATTTACAATTGAAGAGAAGAGCTCCGTTTATATTCATTCCACTTATATCCACATTGTTAAATTCCGATTCATTTAAATTACACCTAACAAAGTTTCCTCCAATTAAAGAAGTATTCTCTATCCTGATTCTTTCAAAAGATTGATTTGTCAAATCTATTTTCATTTAAACTAATAAGTTAAGTGAATTAGAACCACATTATATGAATTATTTATCTATAGCGGTAAGCTAAACAAGAAATTTCAAAAAATTTATAATCATCTATTAGTCTTTTATTTTATTTATAAGAGATTTTCTTATTTATATAAAAATCTCTGTAGAATAGTCATTTTTATTGAAGTCATGCTCATTAATTTCTTTTAGAACATTAATAATTATCCGAATGTTATTTTTTATAGCATCTTGCTTCCACCATTTATCAAACATTTCCAAATTATGAACTTAAAAAATGTATTATTCTAAATGCTTTTGATTCTAATATTTTGCGAAAAACTCTAGTGAATCAGAAACTTTTTCTTTTATTAAAATTTTTATGATAAAACTGAAAATTTCCACATCTATATCCATTAACGAAGCTAAAACCTCATACAAATCCCTTTTCAATTTTTTGGAGTAATTCATGAACTTTTTAAAATTAAATATTTAATTTCTATTACTTTTATTTTAAATTTTAAGTATGAATTAAAAATACCCCGTTGTAATAATTGAGGTAAAATCAACATATTTATAATCAGAGAAATCTTTTCTTAGCTTGGATCTTTAAGAAAAAAAAACTCTATATTGAGGAAATTTACATTATTTACTTTTTTAATTATTA